ATGGAGGGTTGTGATGTAAAGGGGGCAGAGGGGTACCGTAGTAGAATTCTGTTAGTGGCGGCATTAAGCCTTACCTCGAACTGCAGTTTGTAACAAGGCCTCTGATTGGTTGAAATCCGTTCATTCTCTGGTGCTCCAGCCAATAGGAAGCTACATAGTAAACTGTTTGTAGGGTTGTGAGAATGTAAGATTCAGTAAACTGTGCTTGCTAGGCGTATGAAGAGGGTGTGTGTGTGTATGTGAGGGTTGCATATTATAACCCCAAGACTAGATGTGAACTGTAGAGTATGTTCAGACCTATAATACCGTCCAAACCCTTCCACCATCCATCAGATACAAGATATACACTCTAATGTAAGCATGTATCATGGTATATCTGTATTTGTGTTTACAAGAGAGAGAGAGAAGTATCTTGACTGAGAACTGGTTAAAAAACTCTTTATACCTCCCCCCCCTGGCCCCTGGGTAGGGTATAGAGGTGATACTTTTACCCTAAACCAGACCGTCTCCACTCTCCATACTTAGTCTTTTCACGCAGCACACATAATATGATTATTAGTCATGAAAAATGTATTGAATCAATTAATTATTATTCTTAATCAATTAAGATTTTGTTCTTTTATATTCCAATCTGGTCTGTTTAGTTTTTTATAATTAAGTAAACTATTTTCTATTTTACGCTGGACATTTTTATAATACGGGTTTAGTACTGTCGTAAAATAAATTATATAAATTTTCTCTTTCATAATTAACAATTAGGGTAAGAAATTTCAAGAAGAAATTAAGTTTTTTTTAGATACTTGAATTAAATTAATATATATTATAATTAATAAAACAAAGACTTTTCTTCAAATTGGCAGATAGGGTGACGGATAAAGATTTGACACAAAAAGAAAATTTAAACAAAAAATTTAACTTTTTTGTTTAATTTGGGATATATTTTTTTTTTGAGGAAATCATATATATATATATGTACTAGGTATACTACTATTATTCATATTTTTTGTTCAGTAATTATATAAATATGTGATAAAAAAGCACATTTTTGTTGCTAAAGTATTAAAAATCGATGAAATACTTAAATGACAGCATGCACCCCATTTTTCAGCAAATTTTAATTAATCCTGATTGGAAAGAAATAAATTCTGTTGTTCATGTTTAAGAGAACATTTCTGTACTTGAAGTCATTTCAACTTGTTCTCCTCCCCGCTGTTACTGTTCGTGTACTATCTCTTTATCTTTATAGGTGTAATCTCTATTATCTACTTGAAGTCATTTCAACTTGTTCTCCTCCCCGCTGTTACTGTTCGTGTACAATCTCTTTATCTGTACTTGAAGTCATTTCAACTTGTTCTCCTCCCCGCTGTTACTGTTCGTGTACTATTCTTTATCTTTATAGGTGTAATCTCCATTTGTCAGATCATAACTCATGAACACTTTAACCGATTTGCCTCAAATTTGTATTGGGGAACTAGGTAAAACCGCTGGAATGTTCTTAGCTTGGTTTGAAAGTTTAAAGTTGAAAAGATTAACTTTGGTAGAAAAAAAACTGTTTCTACAAACTCTTTCTGCAAGACTGCACTCTCTATAAACTTCCCTCTCATACAGATTTACAATAAAAGCATCATAATGGCATTGAATTCGAAATACTAATCCAACACTTGATTACATTTGGTTCTTTTTAGATATTTACACTTTAACCCCCCCCCTCCCCCCTCGTTATTCATAAGAGTACTTAAAACATAAACTCATCTTCTCTTCCTTGATCTCTTATTACAATAATTATTATTATCTAAAGTTTTGTTTTCTACATGTATTAAATATTTCTATCATTAAGATTATATTTACTTGTCCAATTATCACAACAGATTTCTATTAATAATATAATTGATCAAATTATCAGAAATTATGATTAACACTTTAGTTTCAGTAGAAGTAAAAATCTCCATTTACTGCTATAGCGCCGATAAAAGGGTTTATCTCTGATTGGATACTGAGAGATAGATAGAAAGATAGATGTTACCGCCAAGCAATTCATATTGGTTCAGAATAGACGACAAACATATGAAAGAACCCTGATTGGATCAGGCGCTATTGGACTCGGGCTACTATAGAGTGTTAACTATAAACGAACTTGTTTAATTTTGAACATGTTAGAAATGACAAGTAACCTGAATTTTTATCAACAACTTTAAGAAAAACTTTTCTTATTTTTCCCCAAAAAACTATTCTATTTTTGTAACTGTGAAAAATTATATTTTACGACAAAAAATGGTTTGTTTTCACTATTTTAAATTATGCAATATATAAATATGTAAATATATACAATTTATACATCTCTTGTCGAAATTTAATATGTAGATAAATGCGAAATATGAAACACTGTTGAAGTGCATTATAAAGGCTTGAAATACGACCTTGTATAGAGTCCCCACCGGTGGGGATTCGGATGGGGAAACTTGAAGGGGAGGGGGGAGGCTGAAACGTGGGAAG